GTACCCCAGCAGTTATACTGTGGAATGAGTCCATTTCTATCTCAGATTCCCAATCTCTGCCCTGCCCCAGCAGTTACACTGTGGAATAAGGACATTTCTGTCTCACATTCCCACTCTCTCCCCCAGGCCCGGGCCGTACCTGGCGTCCAGGAAGCGGGAGCGCAGGATCATGACGGCCTCGCAGGTGCTCTGCTTCAGCTGCATCTGGATGGTGCTGAACTTGCCGTGGATGATGCTCACCATGCGCTCGATCTCCTTGGGGGAGATGGGCCTGGTCCGGCTCTGCTCCCGCAGCAGGTTCATCACGTGCGTGGTGAACTCGCTGCAGGCCTGGGGACACAGGGATTTGTGGCGGCAGCCCCTGCACTCGCTGCCCCGGCGCCAGAGCCCCCCCAAAGCTCCAGAGGAGTCTCTTCAGCTGGATTCTACTCTTTTACAAAACTCCACACAGGTACGAGCCGGCCCTGCTCTCTATTTGAGGTGCACTCCCTCCAGCTCGGCCTTTCCAGAGTCCAGCCTGTCCCTGTCCTGGCCTCGGAGCCCACGGCAAAGGGGAGGGGAGGGGAGGGGGCAAAGGGTCATTTGGGTTGGGAGGATAAAAACTCTTCCATGCAGAAAGATCACCTGTTCATATTTCTCTAGCTCAGAGTGGTAAATCTGTCGGATCTGGGACAGCTTGGCCCTGTAGTCAGAGTGCTCAATGCTATTGTCATTGGGACAGCCACCTGATGCCGCTGCTCCCGCCAGCGCTCCAACTCCTCCTCCTCCTCCTCGGCCTCTTTTCTCCGGCCCGGACACCCCCTCTGCCAGCAGCATGTTATCGAGCCTCATGAGCTGAGCATCCGGCGGGTCCTCCTCCTGGATACCGCGGATACTCAGCACTGCGGGGATAAAAAAATGGGATAAAATGGGAACTGGGATACTCAGCACTGCGGGGATAAAATGGGATAAAATGGGAACTGGGATACTCAGCACTGCGGGGATAAACAAATGGGATACTCAGCACTGGGGGGATAAAAAAATGGGATACTCAACACTGTGGGGATAAAAAAATGGGAGTTGGGATACTCAGAACTGCAGGGGTAAAATGGGAATGGGATACTCAGCACTGCGGGGATAAAATGGGAATGAGATACTCAGCACTGCGGGGATAGAATGGGAGTTGGGATACTCAGCACTGCGGGGAGAGAGAGAGATGGGAAATGGGAGATGGGGTAAAGTGGGAATTGGGATACTCAACACTGCAGGGACAGAGAGACGGGAGAGGGAGTTGGGATAAAAGGGGAGTTGGGATAAAAGGGGAGTTGGGATAAAAGGGGAGTTGGGATAAAAGGGGAGTTGGGATAAAAGGGGAGTTGGGATGAAATGGGATTTGGGATAAAAGGGGAATTGGGATAAAATGGGATTTGGGATACTCAACACTGNAAAAATGGGATAAAATGGGATAAAATGGGATACTCAGCACTGCGGGGATAAAATGGGATAAAATGGGAACTGGGATACTCAGCACTGCGGGGATAAAAAAATGGGATACTCAGCACTGTGGGGATAAAAAATGGGATACTCAACACTGTGGGGATAAAATGGGATAAAATGGGAACTGGGATACTCAGCACTGTGGGGATAAAACGGGATAAAATGGGAACTGGGATACTCAGCACTGCGGGGATAAAATAATGGGAGTTGGGATACTCAGCACTGCAGGGATAAAATGGGATTGGGATATCAGCACTGTGGGGATAGAATGGGAATGGGATACTCAGCACTGCAGGGACAGAGAGAGATGGAAATGGGAGATGGGGTAAAGTGGGATTTGGGATACTCAACACTGTGGGGACAGAGAGACGGGAAAGGGGAGTTGGGATAAAGTGGGAATTAGGGAACTCAGCACTGCAGGGCAGGGGAAGGGGAGGAAATGGGAATTCCCAAAACAGGAGGAGGCTCCGGGGTGGCTCCGAGGTGAGTTGATTATTTCAAAAATTCGTGGCTTTTCTACCTCGTTATGGAACTAAAATTCTATTTAATTTGAGAAATTCGGTGGGAATTCTGGTTTTTGGTGTCACCTCCTCATCTGAACCTGCAGCCAAACCCCTCCTGAAGCTCCTCTGCAGCTCCAGCTGCAGCTTAATTGGATGTCGCTTGTCTAATTATGCTAATTATGCTAATTAGCCATTAGTTATCATCAATTACACGTCAGGGTGGGGCTGGGAAGGGGGTGAAAAGCCAGGCACTGGTTCCAGTAAGTCCCGAGGAACTGGAAAGGGGTTCCCACCCCCTCTGGGATCATTAATGGCACTCCCAGCCTAATAACTCCAATTTTTAATTAATTAATAAACTGAGAAGTGAGTTTTTTCACTCCAAACTACCAATTCAGTGAATTTATTTACAGAAACCCCCCAAATCTGACACAGTCAGGGACTGTTCCTAAACCCTTGTGCCAAATCCTTCGGGCCTGGATCCCCAAAACCCCTCCCCAGTCCACCCTTTTCATGGAATTTTAAGGAAACCCCCCCGTGGGCCGATCCTCGTCAGGGATGGCAATAATTAAGAGGGAGGAAAATGAAATTGCCCATCATTTCTAATTAACCTGTAATTAAAGCGCGGCCCAGGCGAAGGGGCCGCGGCCTCGCCGGGTATGCAAATGCAATCAGTGCCTTTGCATCTCATTAATTAGGGAGCTGGCTGGGCCCAGACCGAGGCTCCTGCTCCACGGTTTCCCTTTTCCAGGAGCCAGAAAGGCAGGAAAGGGGGAGAAATGGGGGGGTGGGGGTGGAAAACCCCCCCGGTGGGAATCAAAACGGCCTCGGCAGGGGGAGAATGAGCCAAAAACTGGCATATTTGGGCAAAAATAATGAAAACCTGGTTATTTTGGGGCAGAAATGAACCAAAACCCGACATATTTCAGCCAGAAATGAACTAAAATTTGATGTATTGGGGCCAGAAATAAATCAAACTGCTGTTTTAGGGCCAGGAATGAACCAAAACCTGACCTATTAGGGCCGATTTCCTCCAAGAACCAACCCCATTTCCCACTGAATCTGCATTTTCCAGTGTTCCCAAATCCCCCTTTCCTCCCTAAACCAGTTATTTGTCAACCTTTGTCTCTTCCTACCACAATTTTGGCCCCAATTCGTTCAAGAGAAAAAAACCAAAACCAAAAAATAAAACCATGGCAGCATTATTCTGGATTTTGGAGAGATCCAGCAAAAAAGCCCCAAAGGGAACAAACCCCAAATTATGGATTTTTCACATAAAAACAACCCAAACACTTTGTTTTCCCCCCATGCAAGAAGCCTAAAAATCAACAAAAAAAACACCTTAAAAAAGACCATTAAGCAAAAAAAAAAAAAAAAAAAAAAAAATCTTTGTTTTGTGAAATCCCTGAGGGAAAACAGGGAACGGGTTAAATGGGAGGAAACGTGGGATTTTGGGGCAAAATGAGGCTGAAAAAGGGCACCAACACACCTGTTTTCTCCTTGATCTCACACAGGACACTGAACAGGGCTGGTTTCATCCTGTGGCAGTTCAGGGCGTGTTTCCTGGGGGAAAAAAGGAGGGAAAATGAGCCCAAATCCACGGAAAAAAGCCAAGAAAAGCTCGGGGATGGCAGGTCAGTGAGGGAAGTGAAGGAAGGGATGGGAAAATCCTGGTGATTCTGTCATTAAAGTTCGTTTCCTCAGGAGGGAACCGGGCTGAAAACACACAGCCTTTAAAAATTCCAAGTTTTGGCCAGTTTTGGGAACCACCACGTGCCTTTGGTGCTATAAAAAGTGCAATTTTAAATGTATATTCAATATATTTTAATAGATAGACATGTTTATAAGTGTATTTGTGAATAAGTTTGTAATTTGGGGGCAACTCTCACCAGAAAACAACGGGAAACCCCCCCTGGATGGAACACACCTCAAAAAGTCTCCTGTGCTGCTCCCGAGCCCTTTTCCAATCCAGAACTAATATTTAAATCAGATTTCTGGCTCAGTTTCACCACATTTTTTTATATAAAACACCGTTTTCCAGCGTTTTCGGGGTCGCCTTCCCTGGGAAACGGGCGGGAGGGACCCCCCGGATGTGACACCCACCTAAAGGGTCCCTTCGGCCTCTCCCGAGCCCCCCTTTGGAATCCACAAACGCGATTCCAATCCCTGGGTTTCGGCGCCTTTCTGACCCAAACCCCGAGCCGAACGCCCCGGGAAGGGCCCGAATCCAGGCTCTCCTCCCGCCCCCATCCCAGAGGCTGCTCCGGCCCCTCGGGCGAGCCCCAAACCGCGGGATTTCCCCCCAAATCGGGGCCGAGCGCGGCCCCCCCGAGCCCGGCGGGGAGAGAACAAAGGCTCGGGAGCTCCGGGAGGGAGCCCATTGTCCTCGGCCGAGCGGGGAAAACCGGGAAGCGCGGGGAGAATTCCCGGGCCCCGGGTGGGAACGAGCGGCGTTGGGGTCCAAACCCCGGCGGTAATTAATAATTAATCACCGCGGCCGCGGCGGCGGCGTCACGCGGGAGGCTCGGCCCCGCCGGCTCCCATCCCTGCCCAGCCCGACTCCCGGGCAAGTTTCCAGCTTGGATCTTCCAAATCCCCGGCGTGGGACCCCCCGAAATCCGCCAGGGGTTAAAATAACACCCGAAACCCACATTTTCAGTGTGAAATATTGAAGTGGATTCCCCACAAATGCGGCAGCGCAGCAGCATCGACCCGGCTCGTCTCGGGGTAAAAACTCCCCAAACCCAACCAACTTCCTGCCCACGAAGCAAAAAACCTGATTTTTCCACGTATTTCCGTGAATTCCCACGAAAATGCACCAGAGGGGCTGTAACATTTGGGGCCCAGCTGGAGCGGGAGGGCGGTTTTGGGTCAATATCGAAGGGATTTGGTTGAACAACCAAAGCTCAGCCTTCAACCTACTCGAAACTAAAACTCCCAACAAGCTCAGAATGGTCTCAAATAGCAATAATTGTCCTCAATATTCCACGCCTCTGGAATGCCCCAGGGGAGCTGCAGGTGAGGACAACACCAGGAAAGAGACAAAAAAAGTCAAGTTTTGGGGGAAAAGTGACAGTTCCACACCTGCCCCGCTCGGGTTCCGCCGCCCCACGGAGCCACACTTGGAAAGGAACCCAAAGAGCCACATTTCAACCCAAATTGGGAGGGTTTAGAGGGCAAAGCTGCTCCTCATGTTCACGTGAATCCATCCAGTCCCCTGGAATTTGGTGATAGCAACCGGCACACCCAAAACTGGCCAAACTTTGGGGGCAGATTAATGGAAACGGGCGGTTTTATCACGCCGGGACATCCCCCAACACCCAACCACAGGAAAAGCACAGGGGTGGGAGGGGAATAGGCCCCAAAAGCCCGTTTTGGTGGGATCCAAACCACCTCCCTTGTGGAGGAGCCGCTAATTAGGGGGAGGTAATGAGCTGGTTCCAGCCTGGGGCTGCAGAACCCACCGATCCCGCTCCTTGCCAGGCCGGTGGTGACGTCCGGGGGCGGTTTTCCCGTTAAATTGAGGAATTCCAGGTGGGGGTGAGGGATGAAGGATCCCCCCCGTGTCCCCAAACCTGGGGGTCTGCAGCCCCCCCACCCCTTCCTGGTCAAACTTCACCCCCCAACACCTCCAGATTCCCTGTTCCCGGTGCCTTTTCCCCATTCCCAGTGGTTTCCCCCCATTTCCAGTGGATTTTGCTCCCATTCCCAGTGTCTTTCCCCCATTTCTAGTGGGTTTCCCCCTATTCCCAGTGGGTTTCCCCCCATTCCCAGCGGTGTCAGGGGGGACAACCCCATTCCCACCGGGAATGTTGACACCCCCCGGGGGCAGCCCCTCGGACGCCGTTACCGGGGAATTCGCGGTGAGCAGCGGGAGCATCCTCCCGCCCTGGGAATAGCGGGAACACCGGGAATAGCGGGAACACCGGGAATAGCGGGAAATCCCCCCCGCTCCCCTGCC